TTTATAGCGTCCATTCATCCGGAAAACAGATCGGAGGATCCTGGTGGCCGAAGTAATAGAAACGGCGAGGTCTCGATTCTGGAACTAGTTAGAAACAAACCGTTCAGTATAATTGTAGATCTAAGAGATCAAACATGCACAAGCAATGTCTGCTAAATAGTACTCAGAGGGGTTTGGTTGACCCATCTATTGGATGCCACCAGTTTTGTGGTGAAACCTTTATTTAACCGGTTGTTGCTTTTTAGGATGTGTTTACAAAAAGGACCATTAGACACTTCTTTTGGATATACGGCCATTCCCACCAACCTACCCTTAACTAGGGAGCACCTAAATTTTGAGGACGAGCTAGAGGACATCCAAACAGTGCGAATCGATGGTCTTTTCCATTATATACCAATCTTTATCTCTGCTCTCAGATTTAACGTTACAATTTCTTTAATAAACTGGGCAGATCCGCGATCTTTTTGTCTGGACTCTTCAAATTTAAGTGCATTTTGTCATTTTTCTAATAATTTATTTTTTAGTTACAGCTATATCTACATTTTTTGAGCTTCTTCAATTTACAGTAATATAAGGGTATTTTGTACCAAAATTTTCCATGTTTTTTTCTCGAGATTCCTTTTTGTACCCAAATAATCAGTTATTATTGATTATTACACTCAGAGAAAAAATAAGACTTAATATGATTCTATAATATTCTTCAAATTAACCTGCGCATGATGATCATTTTTATTACTTTTTACTTTGTTATTACAACACTTTACTGTCCATTGGTTTTATAATAAATTTGTTATAAAATATAATGTTTTTATGCGTTTACGCTTTAGTGAAAGATTCACACTTTAAAAAGAGAATTAAAATCGAATTTTTAAATCGTTTAACTTAAAATTACATGAACAGGGTTTTTTTAATCCTATCTAATAGCTTTTACTTAGGTTTTGGTACTAAAAAGAAAGACAATTATTGAGAATGCTTAAGTGTGATCTTTCACTCATTCTTGGTTGCAGCATATAAGGTTGACCAATATATTACATATGTATTTGCTTATAGCCAACATTTTAAAAAATGAACTACTGGGTTACAGACGGTTACAAAGATTTGAGAACACTTAAAATTCTATTGACTGGTAAAAGTCACATGACGGAAGACCCTCTTTCCATTTTAAAATGTTACTAAATCTCTTAGAAGTAACAACCGACCGTCCTCAAAATAAAAAAGTTCCACTTTGATCAATATAGTCAGGAGGACGGAAAAACGTCTTTTTGTAATAAGCTAGTAATATTTTATTTTAAACATAATGCCGTTTAAAACAAATAAGCGCTACATTAAATATGGGAACAAAGAAAATGGTTGATGTGTTAAAGTTACTAAACTAATAATTTATAAACAAATCGATATCATAATATTTATAAACCGATATAAAATGTTATATTTTGATTAGTTAAGTTCTAGAAAAGGATTGATTTATTTATTTATTGATTTATATAACGCATTATTTTTCTGAGTGTACCTTCGCTCATATGGATGGCACTTCGCGGGACTTATAATATATCGGTCGCAGGGCAGCGAACGTGTTAAAAAAAGTGAAATTGTCCGTTTCAATACTAGTAATTCTGGTAAAGTATATTGTGCACAGAATCTTCAGGTTGGATGTAGTCGGGTGCACGTTAGACTAACCGGGGATCGATTTCAATAGTCGTGCAAGCGAAAGTCTCTCCTAACTTAAATTTAGATGTCACCTTGCGTTAAATGTCTGTCCGAACAGCCGATAATAATGCCATTCGTACGGACGTATCGTTTCGTGTCATTGGAGCGCCGATAAATTCCGGTTTAACGCAAAAAACAACCGCCACATTGTTTCGGAAACTTCCCGACGACACTAATGGCCTTAACTTGCCCGACAAAAAAGTCACCGAAACGGTTACCGGGTTTTAAATCGCGGCCACATTTAAAACGTCCACCCGCCATGATATATTTCGAGTCGGGTCCCCCCCGCCTCCCCCTTCGCTTTTAAATATTGCTTTTTTCATTTGCCCGGGGACCGCGGGACATAATGTCTTTTTTATCTCGGGGGACGCGGACCCCAAAAGGGTTGATTGTAAATCATAATTTTAATGTTCCGCGGCGATTTTTGTTGTTCATTAAGGATGCGATCGCGAAGGACACGAAAAAAAAAAGCGAGTAAGATGGGGAGAGACAGAAAGAGAGAGAGACGAAGATATTAATGGCACTGAAAGGATTTTCTTCCATGAATCGTTGAAGCTTTGGGAATACGAAAAATACGATAATTATAATTTATTCTATGAAATTAAAAATGTTGTTAATTCTAAAAAGGGGTTTCAAAAATTCAAATTTCTCAGCTTTACTGACAGCGTCAGTGCCCAAAGTTAGCAACCATTCGTAAGTTATTGACCACTTTTGCATTTAATCGTAAATAATAAGAAAACCAAATCTATAGTGCTTTACTCAGGTTGATTTAAGTTCCGAATATCTTTGCTCGATCTTAAACAGGTGGCACGTCCTAGCGTTTTGTACAAAAATTCAGTTAGCCATGAGGAGCGCACATCCTGGATTGTGTTGTGTGTAAAAGTTTTGACTGACGCTAGGAATAAAAATAGTTAATAAATATTTCTAATGAAGGAATGAATGGTTTTAAGTTTTAGATAGGAAATGAGGATTTGCCAGTCATTTTTGAAGTAAAATTTTATTTATACATTTTGATTTATTGAAGTTAGATGATAAAATATATTTACATTTTTAAATATTAGTCTACGAACGCCTTTTTACGTCCAGAAGATATAAATTAGGTTTATTTTGTTTCATACCTTAAAATATCAAACGCACCCTGTGAATACGAAAAAAGTCTGTCAAACGTGTTGCATATTCTACTTTTTCTATGACCGTTAGTTTTTGGGTGCATTTTTGCATAACAACACGAATACATTTACTAACATGACATGACATAAGGAAATAGAAAACCCCAATTTTGAAAAGTGTACACAATTTACTAATTCTAGTTCTACTAATTTACTGTTGGTTAGTTTAATCTTCATTCGTTATTGTTATTTTTAAAGGCAAGTTAGATAACAGCAATACTTTGCGCTTAATTTTCTATTTAGTTGGCCGCCTTTATTATTTTTTGATGGCCACGAAGTGAAATTGTACCATTTTGTTATTTGAGGAAAAACATGGTTCTAAGACTCCATATACTACAACAAATTTGTAAAAAATTATATTCAATAATGCCACTACAATTAAAGTAATTAGACTTATGTGGATATTTTAAAAATAACGTCGAAATAACCCAAACGTATTCCTAAAAAACGGTCGTTAAAAAAAATACCAATTTTATACACACCGTGTAGAGCGAACTTTTCGCAGCCTCTGGAGCGCTTTACGGGCAAATATGCAACCCTCCGCTTTGGTGTGTGTGCGAGTGTGCAGTCTCCGCAGACCTCAAGCATATTATTTCACGCACACGTTAATTAGATTTTCTTCAATCTATCCAGCTAATTCGGAATCGATACGTAACCTGGCAATTATAACACTATTAACTGTGTCATTACACAGCGCTGATGACTGCCCGTTCGCTCAGCTTCACAATCGCCGGGTTCGACCGTTATAGGACGTTTTTCAATCCGGTGATTTTGTCCCCTGTTGGAATGTATACCGTGTCGTTTCGAAAACCTACCGGATATACTGACTGCTTACTCTAAAATACTCAGTTGTGCATCCAGTTGTCAGCATCATTAAACACTGTCGCAAGTGTCTCCGGTGCTTTAGTCAGACGCGAGACGTGCTTAAATATGATACTAATTCGACATTTTCTTTTCTATTCATATAAATAAATCCACAAATTTTACTTAGTTGCAAGATTCAAAAATCGGTTTTTCTTTTTTTCCCTCTAACCTTTATTTTGCACTCGTCTCTTCGTATTTTCAAAACTCTTTAGTATTTCTTTTTACACATACATACATGATTCGGCACGAGTTGAGCGAGTTTTTAATAAACAATTCGTTTGTGGATACATTTGTGCAAAACAGTAAATGTCGTTAAAGCGCAGTATGTCGTGAAGTATCAGTAATTGAGGAAATGTTCTGCTAGAGTCTGATCGTGAAAGTCATCCCTGGTACTTGACCTGTATGCAAAATGGCTGATTTCGGGCGGTTCGAGCACCTTTTAACTTCTCTCCTTGTGTCCAATTGGTGAATACGTTGGATAATGGATTATCGCGACCTCTGATACTGCACAAATCAGTACTAAACAGTACAAATACGTTTACGACATCTCACATAACCATCAGAAGTGACTAAAGTACTGGAAACAAACAAAATGACTCGCGATCGTGGCTAACGAAACTGACGTCTTAAAATGGAACTTTGCACACGCTTAACCTCTGCATAATGAGATATTTTAGAGTACATAATTTAGGCGGGGGCTGGCAGCTATGCTACTAATTAAACGCGCCTTCGGACTGATACAAAAAAGGAAAAAATCGAGACCATTTTCTTCTCCGCTCTCCTCACCTGGCCGGCAATTCCTGCACGTTTCCTACGGGAAACCACCCCGCGCTCTTCTCTCTCTCTCTCGCGCGCGCGCCGTTCCTTTTTAATCACAGCTATCCGGGGCATTTTCTTCGTTTTACCTGATTCCAGTTTTAATTCGTCATTATTAAAATAATACTTCACTTTTAATATTTCATTAGGAGTTAAGCGGGTCGGCCTTTTTTTTTCTTCTCTTTCGTCTCCGGTCGTTTTTGCCTCTTTTTCGTTCTTATTCGCGACGCAAATTAGTAAAAGACGAGAGAAATCGAGAACCGTTAACGAACTGGGATTCGATTCGAGCGAATTAATTAGTTGAAAATGTCCGCCGCGCGTTCGCCAGTTTTTTTTTTCGTTAGTCCACCACCACACAGTCACGTGTCCAGCAGCCACGCAACACAACACCACCCGAATCGCCTTCGGCACCCCCGCGCTTGACCGGAACCATTCGATTTCCAGATTTTCATGCACAAGAGCGCGATGCAGATGCACGCGAGAGAGCTGGGAGGACGTTCCGAGGTCAAGCCGCACCAGTGTCAGCAGTGTCTAAAATCGTTCAGCTCGAACCATCAGCTGGTCCAGCATATCCGCGTCCATACCGGCGAGAAACCCTACAAATGTTCCTATTGCGACCGCAGGTTCAAGCAGTTGAGCCACGTTCAGCAACACACGCGACTCCACACAGGTATGTCATATAAACGCTCAACCAACCAATGCCGAACGTTTCAACGAATAATTCAACTATATCCATCATAACTTATCAAATTATTACTTTAATACTGTAAATCAGTAAGAATATATTGATAAACTCTTCAGAATTATTCAGATTTACGGTATTTACCGAGATGTACCTACATTTTAGATAGGATTTATATGATTTATCGGGAATGTACTGTTCGTATTTATGGGATTTACGGACATGTATCGAGAAAGTATTTCAAATTTGATGACATTTATTTAGCTTTCAATTGAATGTACTGAGAAAGTAGTTGGGATTTATTGGGAACATGTACCGAAAAAATTAGTCAGGTTAAAAGGGATTTCAAGTCAATATACCAAGAAATTAGTTGGGATTTAGTTTGTAACTATAGGAATTATTTGAAATGTATTTGTTGGATTTATCGTGGATGTATCGAAAAAGTAGGTTATATTTTTAGAATTTACACTGAATGTACTGAAAAAGTAGTTGGAATTTATTTAGGCTACTGTGGATGTAGGTCATTATGGTAGGATTTATCTGAGGCCGTAGAATTCGGATTTATGGGGACGTACCGAGCGCGTGGTTCGCATTTTAAGATTTACCAGAGAAGTACCCAGACATTTGGTGACATTTATGAGCTTTCAAGTGAATGTACCGAGAAAGTAGTTGGGATTTATCGGGCTTACTGAATTCAGATTTATAGGGATGTACCGAGAGCGTAGATCGTATTTGTACGATTTACCGAACATGTACCGAAAAAATTAGTCAGGTTAATAGGATTTCAAGTCAATGTACCGAGAAGTTAGTTGGGATTTAGTTTGTAACTATAGGAATTATTTGAAATGTATTTGTTGGATTTATCGTGGATGTATCGATAAAGTAGGTTATATTTTTAGAATTTACACTGAATGTACTGAAAAATTAGTTGGAATTTATTTAGGCTACTGAGGATGTAGGTCATTATGGGAGGGTTTATCTGAGGCCGTAGTAGAATTCGGATTTATGGGGATGTACCGAGCGCGTGGTTCGCATTTGTAAGATTTACCAAAGATGTACCCAGAAATTTGGTGACATTTATAAGCTTTCAAGTGAATGTACTGAGAAAGTAGTTTCGATTTATTGGGCCTACTGATGATGTGGCTGGGATTAATAGGATTTATCGCAAGGGTACGAACGATGGAATTCGCATTTATAGGGATGTACTGAGATCGTAGTTCGTATTTGTACGATTTACCGAAGTTGTACTGAAAAAGTTAGTCATGTTTAGAGGATTTCAAGTGAATGTACTCAGAAAGTAGTTGGGATTTATGAAATCTGTTGATGATTTGGCTTGTAATTGTACGAATTATTTGGAGAATCCGCAATGCAGTTTGGGATTTTATGTGGGATGTAACGAAAAGGTGGCTCACATTTGTAGGATTTACCTGGGATGTATCGAGAAAGTAGGTTGGTTTATCGAATTAACATCGATTGTACAGAGAAATTAGTTGGGATTTATTGGGTCTGATGAGGATGTGGTTCAGATTGATACGGACGATGGAATTCGGATTTATGGGGATACTGGGAAAGTTAGTCACATTTTTGGGATTTCAAGTGAATGTACCGAAATAGTTGTTGGGACTTTTTGGGTCTACTAATTATAAGGTTATAGTTCTGCTTTATAGGGGATATACCGAATTAGTAGTTCGCATTTGTAGCCTTTATCGGAATGTATCAGTATCAGTTTTTATATAGGATTTACAGTAAATGTATCGAGAGCACTTTCGAGCACTTTAGCTGAAGTTGCTTCATAAAGTTCCTCCCTGGTTTTATTCAAGCTTTTTGGGTTTTGGAAATTTTACTAAGCAACAAACTTTCATTCCAGACGAAATAGTTAGTTGAAATTTTTTACTGGATTCCCCGTATCCCAAAAGCATATAAACTTTTTTACCATAATGAAGCACTTTCAACAGATGATCATAGCAACGCTTCCGGTAATTTAATAAGAAAAACGACGTGGTTTTTTTCTTTTCATTGCACGAACTTGTCGAGAATTTTTTCTGCATTCCTCGTATTATCAGAAGCATGTAATGTAATATTTTATTTTTGTAAAAATGTATTTACTGATCTGGTTTTTTTCCTTTCTGTGAGCTTATTTTTTAACGGTTTTCAAAAATTTCGTTGCAAAATGGTTGAAAAAAGGTGCCGGTTTTAAAAAATGTTGGTTATCACTATAATGCTATTTCAAAAAACTATATTATATTCAGGTATGTAATCAAACATGTAAGGAAAATTTGTATTTAAAATTTTTGTCATCGCCAGTTGTTCCGGTAAATAGTAGTAGTTAGAATAATCTCCTGAATGCAAAACATACTTTATTCTTACTTACCATTATTCATTGTTTTAATTAAACTTCACTGGAGTTAATAAATTATAATTTTTTTCATTTCTAAATATTCCAAAATATAGTTTCCCGATTTTATCGAAACCTCGAAGTAGACAAAAGTTTTTTCTTCTTTCGTTGTACCGTTTTAAACCGGAAAACTAAAACTATCTCCGTCGATATTATTAATTATTTCAAAACGAAAGTCGCTTTTGTTTCGTTGCGCTTTATTACAAAACTTTTCGGCGATTCTTTTGTTCGTCCACCGCGTTAAATTGGCCCCTCCCCGCATTTTATTAACAAAAAAACGGGGTTAATTAAAATTCGATCGTCGAACGCGCGCGTCTAATAAAAAACAGCTTAAATATCAAACTCGTAATTTGGCTTGTAATCTTTTTTGGATGAAAAAAAAAATTCTCCCCCCCAGCGCGACAAAAAGCGGGCGACCCTTTTTTACGTAATTTTTTAACCTCCCCACAATGGCCATTCATCTAAGTCCTCCCCCGTTAATCGTTCGCGATGAAAAACTTGACCCCTTGGAAATATGAAAAATTGGTGTTTGATACACTTTCCCGGCCGATTAAGCAATTTGGACGATGAAAAATCGCGATACCCCGCTCTTTAGTAGACAGCGGCGCCGTTTCGGCGGGAGCGACAGTTGCGAAAAAATGTTTCAATAGTTTTTTTTTTCATTTCCTATGTACAATCAAATTATGAATTAGTACATAGACACTCACGGCACATGTCCTTTTTATACATAAAAAGGACGACATGTTTTTAGTACAAAAAAACACAAATTTATGTTGTGCCAATGGAAATTGAGGCGTATTACTAACAATGTGCCTGAATCATTCCCTACGTTCTTCTTGACATTCATAAAATGAGATAGTGGATGTCTTTTTCAGAAATAAGTTGTCCAAGCATATCCCAAACATGTTCAATTTGGTAGGCTTCTGGACTTGTGTGGGTCCTTGCAGTACTATGGAATCAGAATAAAATTATCTCCAATAACATCAACATGAGGGACAACAAAGTGCTCTAGAATTTCTTCAATATACCTGACAACAGAGCCTCTTTAAACGATAATTGTATCATCCTTGGGAGCCAAGCCTATCCATTCTGCAAACGTTCTTGTAGTCTTCGTCGTACTCTGTTACGTGATCGCATGCTAAATATCGACCAATCAGTAAAATGCGCCCCCATTCCTTTTGGAAACACTGAGCCTGTTGCAGGTCTACTGCTAGCCAGATTTTTGTGTCGAAGTCATCGTTTAATAGTCGGCTTTTGCATAAAACTTCAATTTCTATGACTGTCTGTATTCCTAAAAATTAATTATTAAGGGCTTAAACAATTTACAGTCCTAAAAAGAAAGTTATTACCAAGTAAAATGCAATCACTCTATGTATGCGCCAGCAAGATTATTATCAAAATATTTTTTTTCCATAAGTTGATCAGATAGCTCTGTTGTAATCCTCTGCAGTATCTTGATTGTCTCTTGTCTCTTGTAGAAATTGTAAACGTTCGATTGTGAAAGGTTCATATTTTTTTTATAAATGATACCTTAAATTTCGCGCATTTCTTGTCTTACCTATACTTATCCTCAGTATCCAAGGGCATGGATGAATTTTTCAATTTAGTTTCAGTAATAATTAAAAAAACACATTTTTTGGGACCATCGCATTCTCAGAAGGAGGCGTTTTGAGTCACATGTTTATTAATCAAAAGAAAAAGAAGATATAAAAAATTCGATGGGAAAACATTAACTACGACGCCGCTGAGTCAATTTACCGAACGAACCATTCAATATCGGTTAGATGTAATCTGTGTAGGGGCGGCGGGATATATTAGCATCGGGAAAAAAAAAGCGGGCAAAAAAAAACAACCCCTGTAAATGAATTTCGGACAAACGCTCGCGCGGGGCATTTTTAATAAGGGACAAATTAAATATTTCCTTTGGCGATCGAGTGCTCCAAGATCGCGATGGACCTGACGTTTAGTGGACACGCTTTTGTGGGGTGTTCAACTAACGCAAAGTGAAATGTAATTTAATAATATTTTTTACAGCGGCTGAAATGAGTCTTCATGACCCAAAGTCATTATCCTAATTGTTTTTGTTACTTTTGTTTGGACACTTGTTTCGTATGCCCCATAATGCCTCCAGAAGTTCAGGGTAAATTAAAATTTTAATGTTTTTTTTTCTATTTTTTGTATTACATTTTGTTTTTCTTGTATATTTTTTCTTTCTACTCAATACTCTAAAATACCAAACCAAAGTGTCACTTTGAGACAGCAGATTCATTACTTCGGACAGTTCCGACCTTTTCGTCAAGGGTGGTCAAATGTTTTCTTAATCCTGTTACGTCAGTGTTTTGCAAAAATGTACCCAAAAACTAATGATTGTAGAAAAAAAAATTGTCTAAGCGTGTTTGAGTTTGTTCTACGCAAAAACATTGGTGGGTGGGGGATTGTTTGACGACGCAGATTTCCTTCTCGAAAGACAAACAAAATTGACTCTTTGTATGGTCGAACGGTCATGCGGTGTTTGCCGTGTGGGTTTACCGCCTAAAACAAATACGTCGATGAATACTTTATAAAGTTTTTAACATACAGGGTGTTTCGAAAT